TTTTTTTTAATTCTTTAAAGTAAGTTAAAACAGAAGTATGACATTAAATTTGTGGAATGCAGTGAAAGCAAACAGGAATCTATAATGTTATAAAACTTGCAGAGCAAGGTACAATCACATGGAGGGGGGTGGGATTCGAGGGGGAAATTACAAAAGGAGAGAGGAAAATTTATTTTTTCTTATCCTTATATTGAGGGAGTGCTGGTAGAATCTCCAAAGCACATTCTTTTGAGTATTAGCTTCCTAGATAATGTTATTAAGATGTCACCTGGGTCCAGGCTTTGCCTGTTACTATCTTTGGGATGAGTCAGCCTAATATAGAAAGCCTGTTTTCCGTTTGTTTAAGTTTATTTTTCTTTCTTTCTTTCCTGCCTCAACACCATTACCAAATTAGACTTATTCCAGGCATTTAAGGTTAGCACAACATTGAAAATTTGATTAATGTAATCCATTACATCAACAGAGTGAAAAAGAAACATCACATGATCATATCAACAGAACCAGAAAAAGCACTTAACAAAATTCAAAACCAATTTCTGATAAAAACAATTAGCAAATTATAAATAGAGAGTGAATTCCTCAAGTTGATAAGCACATTTATGGAAAAAAAAAAACACAGTTAACATTATAATTAATTGTGAGAAACTAAAATATTTCTCCCTAAACTCAGAAACATGACAAGGATGTTCTCTCACCACTTATTCTCAACATATAATTAAAGTCTTAGTTAACAATTAGAAAAGAAAAGAAATTAAATGAATACTGATTCAAAAAGAAGAAATAATGCTGTTTTTGCAGATGAATGATTATCTCTGTAGAAAATCTTAAAGAATTGAAAAAAATTGCAAAACTATGAAGCAATTATAGTAAGTCGCAGAATACAAGGTTAATGTACTAAAAAGAAAAGTCAATCACTTTTCTATATACCAGTAATAAACAAGTAGAACTTGAAATTCAAAACAAAATGCCATTTACACTGGCACCCTAAGAAACAAAAGACTTGTAAATCTGACAAAAGACGTACAAGATCTATATAAAGAAAACTCCAAAATTCTGATGAAAGAAATCAAAGAAGAAATACTTAGAGAGGTATTTCAAGTTCATGAATAAAGATTCAATATCACCAAGATATCAGTTCATCCCATTTTAATCTGTAGATTTAACTAAATTCCAACCAAAGTTTTAGCAAATTATTTTGTGGATATTGGCAAAACTAATTTTGAAGTTTATATGGAAAAGGAAAAGACCCAAATTAGCCAATATAATATTGCACGAGATGGAAAAAGTTAAAGGACTGACATTACCTGTCTTCAAGACTTAATATAAGACTATAGCAGTGAAGACAGTGTTGGTACAGGTAAAATAGTAGACATATATATTAATGGAATGGAAGAGTAAGCCCAGAAATAGACCAACATTAATTTAGTTAACCAATCTTTGACAAGGAACAAAGGAAATGCAATGGATAAAAGGTGTTCTTCTTTACAAATGATCCGGGGATAAATGAACAGCCATATGGAAAAAATAGAAAAGAGAAGAGAATAGAGAAGAGAAGAGAAGAGAAGAGAAGAGAAGAGAAGAGAAGAGAAGAGAAGAGAAGAGAAGAGGTAGACATATATATTAATGGAATGGAAGAGTAAGCCCAGAAATAGACCAACATTAATTTAGTTAACCAATCTTTGACAAGGAACAAAGGAAATGCAATGGATAAAAGGTGTTCTTCATAAAAATGGATCCGGGACAAATGGAAATGAGTTTTATGGCAAAAAAAACATATTATATTATAAATAGATAATATATTATATTATAAAGAAGATAAGATAAAGAGAAGATAAATATAAATACACACAAACATGCAAATGCCCGCCTGAGGAAGAAGAGAAGAGAAGAGAAGAGAAGAGAAGAGAAGAGAAGAGAAGAGGGAAGGGAAGGGAAGGGAAGGGAAATGGAGGGGAGGGGAAGGGAGGAGAGGGGAGGAGAGGACAAGAGAGGAGGGGGAGGAGAGGAGAGGAGAGAGAAGAGAGAAGAGAAGAAGGAAGGAAGGAAGGAGAGAGAAAGAAAAGAGAAAGAGGGAGGGAGGAAGGAAGGAAGGCGGGGGAAAGAAAAGAAAAGGCTGGGTGCAGTGGCTCACACTTGTAATCGCAGTGCTTTGGGAGACCGAGGCAGGCAGATCATGAGGTCAGGATATCAAGACCGTCCTGGCTAACACAGTGAAACCCCATCTCTACTAAAAATACAAAAAAATTAGCCAGGCATGGTGACAGGTGCCTGTAGTTCCAGTTTTCAGGAGACTGAGGCAGGAGAATGGCATGAACCCAGAGGGCAGAGCTTGCAGTGAGCCGAGATTGTGCCACTGCACTCCAGTCTAGGCGACAGAGTGAGACTCCAGTTGAAAAAAAAAAAAAAAAGAAGGAAAGAAAAAAAGAAAAGAAAGAGAAAGAGAGGAAAGACATAAACTGGACCTTATACACTTCCCAAAAATTAACTCAAAATTAACCATAGACCTAATTCTAAAATACAAAATTATACAAATACTTGAAGATAACACAAAAGAATGGGTACAGAGATGTCTTTCCAGATATAACTCCAAAAGCACAATCCATGGAATAAATTATCAATAAGCTGAAATTCATTAAAATTAAAATCTTCTTCTTTATGAAAGACACTGCTAAGGAAATGAGAAGATAAGCCACAAACTCAAAGAAAATATTTGCAAAAGATATATGTCATAAAGGATTGTTATCCCAAATACATACAGAACCTTCCAATAGCAACAACTGAATTAAAAAAATGCACAAAATACCTGAACAGACACTTCACCAGAAAATACATACAGAGGAAAAGCAAGCATACGAAAAGATGCTCCACATCCTATGTCATCAGGGAAATGCAATTTAAAACAAGAATGAGATTCACTACACGTATATTAGAACAAACACAATCCAAAGCACTAATGACAACCAATCGTGTTAAGGATGTAGAGCAATATGAACTCTCATTAATTGCTAGTGGGAATATAGAATGGTTCTTGTTTTAAGAACCATTTGTTCTTAAATGGTGGACAGAAAGCAAGCAAGATATTTTTGTGTCTCTTCTTATAAGGGTACTAATTCCATCATGAGGGTTCTACCCTTAAGTGATCATCTAAACATAATTATCTATCAAAAGCCCCACCTCTAAATACCATCACATTGGGGGTTAGCCCTTCAGTGTATGAATTTTGGGGGGACAAAGTTGAGTCCATAGCAGCTACTTGAGAAGACATTTGGCATTTCCCTAAGCATGCGGTTGTTACAATCCAACAATTGTGCTTTTTGGTATTTATCCAAATGATTTAAAAACTTATTTCCACACAAAATCCTGCACAAAGATGTTTATAACAGTTTTATACACAATTGCCAAAACTTTGAAGTAATCAAAATGTCCTTCAAGATGAATGAACAAATAAACTGTGGCTCATCCAGATAAAGGAATATTCTTCAGTACTGAAAAGAAGTGAACTCCCAAGCCAATGTAAAGACTTAGAGCAAACTTAAATGAATAATACTAAGTGAAAGAAAGCCATTTGAAAATGCTGCATACTGCATTATTCCAACTATATGATATTCTGGAAACCCCAGCATTATTTTGCCTATGGTTTTCTCTTTTCTCTTTTCTCTTCCTCCCTCCCTACCACTTCTCCATTCAAATCTAGAGACAAAACACCATCTCTCCCATGAGGGACTTCTCAGAATTCTGGTCTTAGGTTTTCAGATATTTCATTTTTGGACTCACTTTTGTGTTATCTTTAGGCACGACTTCCAGGAAGGAGAAAAACAGGGGCCTATTATTTTTTATGCCATGTCTTCAGGAAATGAAAGTTTCTAAATTTGGTTTATTTTTAATGCTATTTAAATAAATTTTATATTGTCAATTTAATACCATCTACTACCAGATTGCTCCTCCTCATTTGAAAATTTTGCCCAGAACCAAATTTGTTACACTGTTCTTATTTTTTTAAGATGTTTTAGGACTTTAATGCTCTTTACATATTCAACATAAAATACTGACAATAGATAAACAATAGACTTTTCAGCAAAGTATCACTCTCGTCGTCAAACATTACAAAGAAAACAGTCAAGAGAACAAAGGATAAGGTAATTTAACAGAAATGCTTAGTTTAATGGCATAATTGAAAAACAACCAACCAATCAACTTTCTCTTCTACTTATGGAAAGAACAGTAAAAATAAATCAAGAACTTCTAGATCTTATTCATAAAACAGCTTGAAAAGAGGAAGGGGAAGACTGGGGAGGGGGTGAAACTGTTGCTAATGGAATAATGCACAAGGTCAAGGATTTAATAAATTCTAAAAGTGTCTACATGTATCACTGATAACCATATTATTAGAAATATAAATGTATAGAAATATAAAGTATATGGTATTAAAAACAGATCTTGCTAATATAAACATATATAAAGTATGTCACTTCTCTTGTAATAACAGTTTAAAGATCTATCTACAGTTTACCCTTTGCCTGGTACTCTTAAACCACTCCTCCAATGGTCAATATTGACCTTGAATCAACAGCTGCTGAACCAAGGAGACCCCACAGATGTCTAGATTCAGCACCTAGGGAGCCCCACCTACACTCTATGCTGGGTGTTCCCATGACTTCAGAAATAATTAATTGCAATTTGCATTATTAAGTCCACAGGCAAGTTTGAAATCTAACTAGAAATAGTAGCAGCAAAGGCAAAACAATTAGGAATTTGTTAGAAAAGCAACAGGATTTCTTAAAATGCTTCCAGTTCAAGTTAGAATTAAGGTGAACATTATGTCCCACCAGCTTTACAGAGCCGTAGATGTTTTGCTGTTGTTCTTTCAAGAAAGGAGAGACTACAATAAACATGTTCATTTGAGAAAAATACTGTGTTTGTTAACTTTTTGTAGCCATCCCCAAGTTACTTTAAACTTTGTATGTTGTTCAAGAACAGAGTTTATCCTGGTTAGGATGTGTTCATAGCTGATGCATCTCCCAAAAATTTTTCATGAAGGCGGCCAGTTTCTGAACATCTTCAATCATGACAGCATTATACTGAGAGACCTGGATGCCTCCCACAGACCTATGCCTTTTCAAGGACAACGTATTGAGTACAAGAGCTTTCTCAACAAATCTTTTTTCTAGAGCATCATCTCCTTTGACATTGCCAATGCAGAAAGGAATACTCATCTTGCTTCTACTTGGGGGCTCCACTGGACATACGTAGAATCCTTGAGAATTATCAATAATCTCATAAATCATTTGAGATTTGAGATTTGATGGAGCTAAGTTTCTCCATGGCCGCGGCACCTCCACTGTTTTTAATCCACTCCGGGACCAAGCCCATGAGGTAGATGCCGAAACATAGAGGCCTGTTGTACAAGGAGCTGTTTCCAGCCTGCACCTTGTATTCCAGGACCGAGGGGCACTCTGGGAGGTCAAACCCCAGCAAGTCATCAGGGACAATCACCACGGTGACTGCAGCAGAGCCAACATTCTTCTGGGCACCAGCAAAAATCACATCAAACTTGGAAACATCCACTGACTTGGACAGGAAGTTTGAGGACTTGTCACAAACCAGTACTGCTCCCTTGATATTGGGTATAAAATCAAACTCCACACCATGCACCATCTCATTTGCTCAATAGTACACGTAGGAGGCAGCCGGGTTGAGGTTCCAGGTGCTTGGATCTGGAATTTTTGTATAACTCCCAAGTTTAGGGTGAACAATATTTATAGTCCCAAACTTCTTGGCTTCTGCAGGCTTAGGTGACCAAGCTCCTGTCACCACATAGTCCACACACCTTCCTGCTTTCAAGCCAGTCAGGTTTAAGGGGACAGCACTGAACTGGCCAGACCCATCTCCTTGCACAAAAATCACCTTATAGTTGTCTGGAACGGCTAGCAATTCCCGCACAAGATTCTCTGTATTGTTAATAATCTTGGCAAAATCTGATGACCTGTGACTCATTTCAAGAACACTAATGCCAACTCCTTTGTAGTCTAATAATTCCTTTTGTATCTCTAACAACACTGAGTGCGGCAGCTTGGTGGGACCAGGCCCAAAGTTGACCACCTGCCTCCGGGAGTCCATGGTGCGTCGGCGAGGGCGGCGAGTCAGCCAAGGAGGACCCAACACGTGAATGGCTTGTGTTTCCGGCCGCTGCGGTGAGAGTCTACACTGCTCTTATTTTTTCAATTTCAGATATTTACCAACAGTGCTTCTCCAAGTGTTGGACAAATAGAATTTATTTGAACTTACAGATTTTGATATGCTTGTTTACAACCATCTTTTCACTTTGAATGTCATTCTAGTTTATGGCGGAAGTATGAAATGAAAAGTATTCTTAAAAATGTTTTATTGGCTCATGCCTGTAATCCCAGTACTCTGAGAGGCCGAGGTGGGCAAATCATTTGAGGTCAGGAGTCCGAGGCCTGACCAACAGGGTGAAACCCTGTCTCTACTTAAAAAAAAAAAAATAGCCGAGCGTGGTGGTGCATGCGTGTAGTCCCAGTTACTGGGGAGGCTGAGGCAGGAGAATTGCTGGAACCTGGGAAGCGGAGGTTACAGTGAGCCGAGATGGTTCCACTGCACTCCAGCCTAGGTGACAGGGCGAGACTCCGTCGCAAAACAAAAAAAAAAACAAAAAACAAAACAAAACAAAAAAAACCACGTTTTATTAATACCACCTGCAAAATACACTTCTCATTCTGTTTTTTGTGTGATATGCATTTTTAGTTATCAAAATTTTATGAATTATATATGCAAAGATTGTGGTCTTCTTGTGTAGAAACCTAATGATCGTGTGACTTTGTTCAGAACTGTTGCTGACTGTTATGTATCATCATATCTCTCTGATAACAAAACACTTCTAGATTTCCCAAGGACTTTATTACTTACATATATACAGTGATAGTGACAGGAGCATCTACTTCATTGGCAATTGTGAAGATTAAAAGGGATATTAGATTTAAAGTATACAACACTGTGTGCACGGGCTTAAAAATTAGTTATTTTTATCAGCATTTAACATTGCATTTTAAATTTGTTTTTCTTTAAAGTTAATAGAGAGATTTTATTGATCATAGAGAAAAACATGGTTTTCATATAGCTCCATATTAGGTTCAAATTATTGTGTATCCCTGCATTGTTTGCCTTTTCTACATTGAATACAAGATAAACTGTAAATAAGGAGTTTGAATAAACTCTTTTTGAATACTGCCCAACATTTTTAATATTCTCTGTAATTTTCTAGAATCTACTTTCAAAATCATATTTAAAATTGCAGTTTCAGAATGAAAAATTCTACTCTCTTTCATGTTAAAAACAGTAGTGTCAATTAAAGCTCTATGTGGATTACAGACAAGTATGAAAAATATTAGGTGATGACAGGCATAGTTTAAGAAGCTTTCTATAATGCAGTATTGTTATACATTTTATTTTTTACCATTAACAATTAAAGTTTACCCTTTTTCCCAGGAATGGCTTAATCAAATACATCAAGTCATGCTTCTGACAGATTCAATCCCACTAAAATATTTCATTTTTTAAGAGTCAGAAAGAAATATGTTTGTTCTTATAAAGAAGAATAAAACAAATATTAGCAAAATGTATCATAAACAAGGAAGGTCAGATATGATCCCTGCCAACTCCACTAAAATCCCTCACACAAACGACACATTGATTTTCACAGAGGATTGACAGTCAAGTGGGTCAACATTATATTCACATTTATTGTACTGATGTCAGAGTTGCAAGCCAAGATAAGATTGCAAAAACAATTTTTTAAAGTGGCATATTTTATTCCATCTAAATATTTGTACACACACACAATACACACACACAATATTTATGTATTTTTTCCCCCTCTGGTGATTTCTCATGGCCAAATTCTCTTCAATCTGGTGCCCTTCCGGCATTCTTAGACCTCCACAACTCTTAAAGGCCGTTGCATATGACTAGGAGCAAGGGACTAGATCACTGGCCAAACAGATGGTGAGGAATAGTTAATTGGCCCACTTGAGAAGATGATGAGTTACTCAGACTATGGCTTTGTCAAGGGAAATGAAAAATAGATTACATCTGTTTTAACAATTAAATGATTTCTCAATTGCTTATTTCAAATAATATAATAAATAAAGGTTTTTGAAGATACTAAGAAGCTTACATATATTAATCTCTTAATTCTGATGATGGTTTTATGGGGATACCAATACTGGTATTCTTATTTTATAGATGAGAAATCTGAGACACTGAAAAATTAAGAAAGTCACCCAGGATCACTCAGAATACGAGGAAAGCCAAGAATCAAAACTAAGCAGATTTTCTCCAAAGTCATTAGATAACTACATTATGTCTCTGCTTTGAGTTCTAGAATGTTTCCAAATATATTTGTAATTATAAAAGTAAAATATGGTCACTGAACACAATTTGGAAAACATAGAATGGTAAAAAACAGACAACCAACTGTAACCCTCCCACCTAAAGGGAAGCATTTCAAACTGTTAGTAGGTTTAACAGGGTTGCAATAATTTCTATACATTCTGCATTTTGATGTGTTTTCTTTCTTTAAAAATAAAACATGGTTTTCTTCAAACATTATATTGTAAGCATTTGACTTTAGTGATAGCTCTAATAGGTTAAGAGCATACTGGTCATTAACTTTTTTTTTTTTTTTAACGAGAAAACCAGAACAACCTAAATATCAATGGATTTTCTAGGAACAATCAAAGAATTGAGATAGTAGAGTAAACTGGTACCCTGAAATCTGGAGACACTGCCCGAAAAATCACCGATCTCACAAGAAACAGATCAGCTTACCTGGAACAGAAGATGCTGAAGCCATGACCTGATAGAAGCACCTAAAGAGTAATTTTAACAAATGGCTGGAAGTGGAGTGCAAAATAGCATGAGGAATAAACTCCTGAGGTTCGCAGTCTTTGAAGTCCCTAACATGTTGATGGGTTTTACCTCCAGTAAGTTCTTATGGTAAAGAATCAAGAAATTCCCTGGTGCTTCTGGCCTGGGGAGCAGTAGAGAAACCAACTTGAAATATACCCAGATCACTCTCCATAACAAAAACCTGGCTGGCAGGTAGGAGAAAAGACCTTATCAGATCATTATCACACCTGGGAATAGGACAATTATCTAACGAAGCATCCTCTGGCCTTTCTGTCTCACCAGCTGGAGAAAGAAACACTTGTGAAGGTCACCGCCAAGAGATGCAAGGTCACTAAAAGATTGATTTAATTATAATATTATAGAAAGCTTCCTTTCCCCCATAAAACCACCAAATCAACAAGGTTTTAGTTTAATAACTGTGGATTACAGTTTAAATAGCTGCAAGTCTCAGGTTTTAAGAAGTTTCTAGGAGAACACAAAAGCAACAGAGGAAAGAAAGTAGATGCTAGCGGAATTTGAAACTCCTGACACCTACAGCTATAACAAAGATTAAACACAACACAACTCACAGTCAAATTAACAGAAAGCCTCACAGTAAAGGTGTGTTTGCATCATTTCCTATTATCTGATACAAATATGCTCAACTTTCAACAAAAAAATTGTGAGACATTAAAAAAGTCAGGAAATGACAGTCTGAAGAGACAAAGCAAGCATCTGAATATGACTCAGAAGTAACACTGAAATTATCAGACACACATATGTAGGGATATTTATAATGGCCAAGATGTTACAGGTAGAATTAGACAACATTCAAGGATAGATGGGTAATATAAGCAGAGAGATGGAAACTGAAAAAGGATCAGAAGAAAATGCTTGAAATAAAAAACTAATAACAATTAAAAATATATTTGATGGACTCATCAGCAGACTGAATATGGCTGAGGAAATAATTAGTGAGCTTGAGGATCCTTCAGTACAAATTCAAACTAAAATGCAAAGAGAAAATAAGATAAAGAAGCTGATTTCGAGATGCTGAACTCAAATGATCCTCCTCCTTCAGCCTCCCAAAGTGCTTAAATTATAGGTGTGAGCAACCATGTTTGGCCTTTTTTTTTCTTTTTTTTCTTTTTCTAATCTTGGTAAATCGAAATGGTGTAACATGGTGGTATAATCACCACTGTTTTAAATTTTATTTTATGGATTACTAACACCATTACTGATATATAGTGATTATTTTTTGTTCTAAGTCTTTAACTGTATTAAATTCATTTAATTTCCTTATCTGTATTAACTCATTTATTTCTCATATAGCTCTGAAGTAAGTACTATTAATATGTTCATTTGTGGATAAAGTAATAGTCACAAAAAGTGATTAAATAGCTTTGTCCTCACAACAGGGACCATTAGAGTTGACATTTATTTGAACGTGACCATTATTATTATAGAGTTCATACCATTAACCTCAATTTTTGAGTACTTCTCTGCTTGAGATGAAACATATTATTTTGTGTAGTCATTCCTGATTGAAATGTGTTTTCATGCTTTAGTTCTTTATTGCAGCATAGAATTTTTTAATTAAAAAAACTAAATCTGGGAAATACTTGAATATGACATGAATACATAAATTTATCATGAATGATTGAATGTGGCAGTCATTATTTACAAAGTCTTTTTATTCAAAGCTATTTATGGAATTTTATGATAAATAACATTTTGATTTTTATAGATAAATCTACCTTTCATTTAGTTGATTTTCTGACTTTGATATTCAGCTTTGAAAAGATGATCTCCTGTAGTCCCAGCCACTTGGGAAGCCAAAGTGGAAGATCTCTTGACCTAGGAATTTGAGTCCAACCTGGGCAACATAGTGAGACTCATCTCAAAACAAAACAAAACAAAACAAGGTGATCCCCATCTCCATTACGATATAATTAAAACAAGATGTTTCTTAACAGGCAAGTACTCTTTATCCACAAGCTTCTTCTTAGTGTTTCTTCACTTCATTTTAACTGTGTATTCTGAACGTCATGAATTATTTTGTTGATATTGTATAAAGTTCTCCAAAGAAACAAAACTATTAGTATATAGATATAGAAGATTTGTTACGGAAATTAACTCACACAATTATAGAGGCTGGCAAGTCCCACAATCTGTCACATGGATGCTAGAAACTAGTGAAAACTAGTGAACTAGGAAAGCAAATGTAATTCAGTCCAAAGCTGAAGACCTGAAAACATGGCGG